TTAGCAAATGGCTGCAATATAACAAAGAGTGAAAAATTGAAGGGGGTCTGAATACTTTCCGTACCCACTGTATATACAGTATATATATGTATGTATGTATATATATATATATATATATATATATATATGTGTGTGTATATATATATATATGATTGGGCACTTTATAGACAAGCACACTTTTGCCAATTGTTCCTTCTGTGTGAATGGAAAGGAGGCCATGCAATGAGAAGAGCTTAGGGTTGTAGTACTTTGTGGGATAGGGTGGAGGCGATTGCATGATGTTTACTGCATGACTTGTTTATTTTATAACTTTTTTCTAACTTTGAAGTTGCATTCAATTGCTTTGAAGTATTTTCTTATGTCCAGTTAGATGTGCTAATGGATTTTTATGATGCAAAACATTACCCACCCCTTGCCCCCCTCACTTATTTTATCTAGAAGTATCAAGGCGTTTCATTGGAGATGATCCCCAAAACATATTATACAGTGTCCAGCGATGCACTGTTCAAGGTCAGAGTCACGCGCCTTCCTCCCACTCACAAGAACCTCCGGGCGTCGCCTCGTCTACCTCCTAACCAGCCTGTGTTTAACACCTAGATGCTTCTCCAGTTGCTTTTTGCATTGCAGGGTTCTTTTCACTCACACTTTACCTTACACAACTTTCTTCCTTAATGGCTGCCACATCTCTACTGCCTAAAATCCAATCCTAGTATATTATAGACCTTATTTAGTGTGGACACCAATTAATTTGACACGAGCAAGACTGTGAGATATAGTGAGATACAGAAGTATATCGTTTTGTCACAATACCAGAATTTTGGTAGTCTGGAAGTCAATGCCAGTAAAATGTCAAGATACTGTTACCAATACAAATTAACTATACTATTATCATAGTAGTGTTGTAACTTTACAATTTATGATACTATAGCAAACAACTATTTGAACTTGAAAATGTAAGATATTGATGCTAATTATATGTAAATAAATTAAAACATGCAGCTTGTAGTCTTCAAATATTTTAGTTATTTTCTTAGTCAATGTTGCTGTCAGGTGATGTTTGTTAATCTTCATTTACACTGCATGTCTTAATGCACACATCTATTTGTACACTTCAGATTTCTCTTTATCCCATTTGTTACTGTGGTTATGCATTTACATCATGTCTGCACTTTCAGAAGATATCTTGCATGTTGACACATTAAATTAATTAATAATGTTCTATCAAGCAAAACCAAATGCTTAGGTTTGTGAGGCACATAAATGTAGAAAGAGACAACAATATCACTGACTCGATAGGGAGAGTGACGGTTCTATCAGTTCCCCCAGGGTCATCAGCAGTCCTTATTGTTGAGTCCTGACATATTCGACGAACTATACATCTAACCCTCACAGCCTTGTTTGTTGTCATCCAACTAAATAGGGACAATTCTCTTAATAAGGTCTGTTTCCCTCTTTTAATGATTTTTTTTAATCTCTCTGTAATTCAGTGTTTCTGGCACTTTCAATAATTTTCTCTTTCTGCTCCACCCAGAGAACCTCAGACCAGCAACTTGATTTGTGATATGCATCTAAAATAGTTGAACTAATCTTGTGCATATAAACCTACCCCAAACAATAAAGTTAGTAGTCCTTCAAATTTGAGGGAAAGTTAGGATAGACAAAGGGTTTAGACTGAATCCCACAGCTTCTGATATTGGCGTGCGCGTTTTTGCCACCTTCCAAATGAATGTTGGTGTGTCTGTATTTGAGTGGGTGTTGTGTGGTTTCTTATTGGGCTGTTTGCCAAATACCAATTTTTAGGATCAATCATTGCTTAGATAAACTGGGAGTATTAATACATCAATGGCCATGGGTTGCTATTTTTGAAATTGCCCCATTGAGGGCCTGGAGATTTCATCTTTTTAAGGTCAGTTGTTTTATTGTGAGGGTATGTGGTTAAAGTAGCCTTGCTCAACCTTGTAGTAGTATTTCATATATTGTTCTGTTTATTTATGTTTATTAATTTATGAGCTGGTACAATAATATTATGTATGTTCTTTCTCTCTCCTTCCCACTGTCCTCTGCCTGTCTCCACCTGCAGGATCAGTATGGTAACTATGTGATCCAGCATGTTTTGGAGCATGGGCGTCCAGAAGACAAGAGCAAGATAGTGGCGGAGGTCAGAGGGAAGGTTCTGGCTTTGAGTCAGCATAAATTTGCAAGGTCAGTTAATGTGAGAGAACTGTATTGTAGAGGTGAAACGGTATGAAAAATTCATATCACAATTATAGTGACCAAAAACATTCTAAAACTCTTAACGTGGCTTAATGTACGAAGACCAAATTTGGAGGACCAACTTTAATTTACATTATTAATAAAGAATATTATGTACAGACAAGCAGTAGAGCCCAGAATTTGCACAGAATGCGCAAAGATTCACATTAAGCGTTTTCCTCCCATAGAGTCCATAAAGAAAAAGTTTAACGTGGCTTAAAGGAACACTCCACTATTTGTGAAAATAGGCTCATTTTCCAACTCCCCTAGAGTTAAACAGTTGAGTTTTACCATTTTCGAATCCATTCAGCCGATCTCCGGGTCTGGCGGTAGCACTTTTATCTGTAGCTTAGCATAGATCATTGAATCCGATTAGACTGTTAGCATCTCTCTCAAAAATGACCAAAGAGTTTCGATATTTTTCCTATTTAAAACTTGACTCTTCTGTAG